CCTTGACATTTACCCAACCCTTTCAAGACTTGATAACAAAGGAATGTCTATTTGTATAGACAACTTGGGAGGAGCGATGGTTAAGGGAAAGATAAAAGGGCTGCATACTATCTAAGTTGGTTCTTCCATCAGAATCCAGAGCTGTCAATGTCTTAACCACCACATAGAAACCGCCTCCAGAAAAACCACAGGATAGACGGGGACAGCAGAGTTTAGCATCCAGGCCCCAACGTCTGACAGAGCTTCAAGAACTTAACCCCTTCTCCAAAGGAGGGATCTCCCTCTTCCCCATTGTTAAGAGTAAATAATGCCAGCAATGCAAAGTGCACGTTCCCGGGCTCCCGAAAGACCCGGACACAGCGCGACCACCCCAGAAATGGAACCCCTTCCTGAGAAAGTGCTGCTTCCAGAACGTTCACAACACCGTTTAGGCTTGCCCTGTGGGCTTTTAAACCAGCGAAATAGAAAGGGCTGAGGAGAAAGGGCAGGGCTCCTCCCCGGAGCCGGACGCCAGCTGGCCCAGGTGCGCCAGGTGCGCAGCGGAGGCGTGCGTCCGCCAGCTCCCGGAGGGACCCGGGGGGCGCTGCGGGATCGACTGGAGAGGTAGCGCCTCTAGGGGATTGCGGGGTGATGGTGGGTGCCTTACGGTCTCCCTCAGCTTCCTTTCAAGGTCCAGCTCGTGCTGCAGGCTGCCCGCCCGCTCCTCCGCTGCGTCCGCCTGCTCCTGTAGGCTCCGGATCTTTCTACGCACCGCCTCCAGCGAGCTGCTCGCCGCCATCGCAAGGGCGGCGGCGGCCGGCGGGTTGCGGTGGAGAGGCCGGCTGCTGCGCTAAGGCCACCGCGGGTGTTGCTGCAGCCAAGCGCCCGACCGCCCCGCCCAGGCCGCCCCGCGCGACGGCGGCGCCCCCAGCCGCCCAGGAGCAGCCCGGAAGTCACGGCCTCCCCGGCGGCGCCGACGAACCGCGGGCGGGTGCGCGAGCGCCGGGGGCGGGCACCACCAACGAGCAGGGCGGGGCTGGGTGCGCGCCGCGGACCCCGGGAACTTGGGGCCCGCCGGAGGCATTGCGCATGCTCGCGGCCGCAGAGACTTGGCTTGTGGCTAGCAGCCCACTGAGATCTAGAAGGAGGCGGGAAGGAGGCCACAGCGCTAAGTATTTTACTTGGACTGGCAGTGCCCCTCCCTAGCACCCGGGAGGTGGTAACTAGGGTAACGGACCAGGCCGCTAAGGGCGATGGAATCCAGATTACCACGTCTAGAAGGAAGAGACGCTGAGAGCGAGGGTTGAGCCTGAATGGGGCCTAAAGAAAATGTTTAGAACCCTAGACACACAACCTCCTAATCACAATCTCACCCCCAGTCTCGAGCGAAACCCACTAATAAAGCATAGTGTGGTTGGCCCTCCTGTTCTAAATGCAGTATTCCTATATTTGAATCTGGCTCCTATTTCTCTTGACTTGTCTGGTCTTCAGCTGTAAAAATAAAGGTAATAGTATTCATAGGGTTGTTATGAGAATTATGATATAATTAAAACACTTTTCACAATACCATATATGTAGTTAAAAACTCGAATGATAGCTATAATTAATAAATATGCAAGCACTGCTTTGAGAGTCAGGTTGGGACCCATAACTAGCTGTGCAATCTCAGACAACCCAAGAGTCGCTTCTAATTTCAACCGTCCCTAGTTTTAGACCAGCCAGGGTCTGAAATCTGCTGGAATTAGATGGATTCTGGGCTGGACTAGGATGCCTTTAAAAGGCACCCCAAAGAAGGTCACAGAACCCTAGGAAAGAACCTCTGTCTACCACCTAGAAAACCATTCTGGAACACAATTTCTGGGGACTGACTTTTGTAGGTTCCCCTCTTGGGCTGCATTTTTGGCTTTTTCCCTTCACCTTTGTCACAGGGCCATTGAAGTCAATTTCTGACATGTTTTAAGAATGATAAAGTGTTGGGGCTGGGGATGTGGCTCAAGGGGTAACGCGCTCGCCTGGAATGCGCGGGGAGCTGGGTTCGATCCTCAGCACCACATAAAATAAAGATGTTGTGTCCCCCGAAAACTAAAAAATAAATATTAAAAAAAAATTTCTCTCTCTCTTAAAAAAAAAAAGAATGATAAAGTGCCCGGGATGGGGAGGATAGGAAGAGACAGTAAGAAAAAGAAAACATGCCTGTCAACATCCTCATCCTCCAAAGTCCTAACAGTGAGCTTCCTTTGCTTTCCTAACACTTCCTGTGGAGTTCCTCAGTATTTACTGAGATGCTCACAAATCCCAGCTTGGGTCCTCTCAGCCTGTAGGTGGAGCCTCTGGCTTTGTTTCCACACAGTTCAACTGGACAGGCCCAGTGGTTACAGCTCCTCCTCTAAGAACACAGACTGAGGGCCTCTGATATTGGGGATGGGGAAAGAGGGCATTTAAGAACCTTCAGGGGCAGACAGGGAAACTGCTGGACACTTGCAGATGCTCTAAGCCAACTAATGACTTAATATCCTGCTTTTCAAACACCTGAGGAATTCAGTTTCAGGTGAGTTCATTTTCAAACTGATGTCATTATACAAGAGTTTGGGACAATTGTTCTCAGCCTTGGCTGCAAGTTGGAATAACCTGAGTATTAAAAAAAAAAATTTTTGATTCTGCCTCCTGGGTTCCAACCCCAGCAATTCTGACTTAATTGACTAGGTGCAACCTGTCTTGATTTTTACAACTTCCCTGGGTTGTAAAGCTTTACTTAAATAAGGTTGAGAATCAATAAAGACCTAAGTAGGGATAAAGACCCACTGGAAATATTAGATCACAATTATTGGGGAAAAAGCTGGGCCAGAGACAATGGAGCCCTGACACTCCCTTAGGCTCACTTAGCCAATCAAAAATTCAAAACAAAATCATCATCAGGGGTGCTACCTCCTGAATGAGACCCTTATAATCTAGGAAAAACCCACTTCTGGAATTGAATTTGTAAAGCATGTTGGTAAACTGGAAAAACATTTTTAGTAATAGTAATCGAAAAATATAAAAATTGTTTTTATGTGGGGAAGTAATGACAGTGAAATTTTTTAATCCCACTTCCTTAGGACACTGATTTCTCTCCCAGCTCTCTTTTTCTCTAGTGACATTCTCTTTTTCTCCTCAAATTTTAACTATTTTTACTAGTTCAGGAATTATTCTAAATATAGCATTTCTTCACAAACTTCTTCAACATCCCTACAGTCTCCAAACAACCTAAAATGTCTTAAAGGGGAAGACGATCAATATATTCACCAAAAGGAGACACACCCCCCCACACACACACACACCATATTTAGGGTTTTCTGAAGGATAAAGAACCAAAACAGGATTAAATAACCTTCTCCCCTGCTGATCCTGCCCCTACAGCTGAGTTTAGAGTAGTCTCTTTCCATTTCTGCCCCACCTTATTCCAAGCCCCTCTAAACAAGACTTTTCAATAAAGACATGATAACACTACATAGTTACAATAATTATCATCTTTTTTTTCCCCTTAAGAATTGTAGTAGCATTTTTCTCCTTCTCTTGCTTTCAGTCTTACTGGGCTATTTTCAAATTCTTTGCATTCTTTTCCTTATAAGGAATATCTCTTTCTTGATCTATCAGCGGCTCTTTTGAAAAAGTTAAAGAAATGTCCTGTTGGAGAATTTGGGGGAGACAGGCATCCTCCATTTAGCCATATACAGAGCAGACATTTGATCCTTAAAAACAGGCTTGAAGTTACATGTGGGTTGTTTTTGTTTGTTTATGACTCTTTTTCTAAGCCAGGTAGTTTCTAACTTAAATGTTTTAGCTTAAATGTCAGTGCTTTCCTAAACCCCCTATCTAGGAATCTTGATATTCACCGAAAATTTCTTTTTGTAAGATTCTAAGTGTTGTACATCTGGATTTCTCATTTATAGAACACATATGTATTGCAAGCTTTTTATGCTACAAAAGCCTGTGGAGATTTCAAGACCTGAGACCCTTCAGTAATGCACATTTTAATCCCATACAAAAAATTCTGCTCTTGCACTTGGAGGTTAACTTCTGGGCATAGCTTTCCCTGGTGCTCATGCATTCTTGGAATAGTTACCAACTTCCCAAGGAATTCTTTTCTAATTGGGCCACTAGGCTTAATTGGCTTCTAGAATAGAATTCAACAATGTGAAAAGAAGTCGGTTCTTTGGAAATCTAATCCTTGTCTTGACTTTTGGAGGCAGAAGAGGCAAGTTCTACAATTAAGATTCCAAAGGGCAATGGACAAAGTGCTAGTAAGATTTAGCTAGTGTGTATCACCCCTGAAAGTATGCAGTGGTTGTCAAAGGGCTGACAGGTGGGGGTGGGGCAAGCAGGAGGGGCAGGGGGCAGCTAGCTCACTATACCATATAAAGCACTGAGCTATATATAACTTCCCACTTATTTTCTGGCTCCAGTGGCCTCAGACTGCCTACCCAAGCAAGTATCATCTTCCCAGGCAGATCTTAAAGGCAGGGTTAAGACTTTGCTACTGAGAAAGGAAGCCTCAGAGTGTTCCTGTGCCCCACCATCAAGCTCAGCCCAAAGTATTACTATGTTTGGAGGCCAGCCTCTCTGTACCCTGACTGGGACCACCATGAAAAGACAGATTAGATTGTCCCACACACTGGGGATGGCAAAAGGAAAGAAATAGAAGAAAATTAAACCTGATGATGACACCCACCTTGGGTTTTCTGCCACTAGTAGCGAAGTTTCACCTCCAGAGTCCAATCCAGCGGCTCTGCTCTCCCAGCTTCTCACCCACCCACATCCAACCCGAGGGGTAAAGAAGAGGAGAAAAAGAGAGGAACGGATGAAATATAAATGAACGTGTGCAGTAGCAGTCAGAGGTAGCATCCAGTGCTCTGGGCTATAGTAGGGCTGTGTACTGGCATCCAGCAGGAGGTTACCTTCCTCCATTACTTTTTAGCCCCTGTGGTGACTCCAGAGTGGCTATGCGGCAGGAGGTGAGGGAAGCAGTGTGAGCGTGCACTTACATCAGTGGCCTTTTTCTCCGCCAGCTCCAGTTTCTCCTGGGCATCTTTGAGAGCCTCAGAGTATTTGTCCAGTTCATCTTCAGTGCCCTTGAGTTTCTTTTGCAGCGACACCAGCTCATCTTCCAGCTGGGAGTTGGTGGTGGCGCGGTATGGGGTGGGGGTGGGGGGTGGGGGAGGGTGCAGCAGGCAGCGTGATCCCGCAAGGCGGGGGTGGGGGGTGGGGTGGGTGCACAGATGTTCAGACAGGGACAGAGGGAAAGAAAGAGGGAAAGACAGGGAGGGAGAGAAAAAGAGAAAGAAAGAGTTAGCCATTCGTGCCGCACCGCGCCGCGCGCCCCAGGTACCTTGGCGGCGGCCTCGTCGGCGGCCAGGAGGCTGTCCTCCGCCTTGTGCAGCTCCTCCAGCACCCGGTCCCGCTCGTCCTCCGACACCCGCAGCAACTTCTCCTTCGCCGCGATGTCCTCCTCAAGCTAGGGGGCAGCGGCGGGCGGGCGCGGGCGACCGGCACGGACCGGGTGTTAGACATACACACAACACATGGGCGCCACATTGGCTGGGGAATCCCTGGGCTTGGGGCGCCAACAAGTTGGGGCTCAAGGGACCCTAGCTGTAGCCATTCTCTGGTGTCTCAACAACCCCCCCCCCACCCCCACTCCGCGCGCCCTGGACAAGCCTCCAGCCGAGGTCCCAGCTGGCTCAAGTCCACAACTTGGGGGCGCAGAAAAATGACCCTGTTTGCCTGACTTTCCGGCCGCATCCTACCTTCTGTCCCATCTTTGTTCTTAGGAAACATCCCCGTGACTCCGTTCTCCTCCCCTAAAGTCTCCATCCCAGGTTGAGGTTCCTTTCTCCCCAGTCAAAAGTCCAAAGAACTGCAAGCACTTTCTTGAATTTGAAGCTCCCTCTCTCCTGCCCTTTCTTCAAACGTCTTCAAAAGACGCCCCCACCCCGCCCTCCGATCTTAACAATATTGATTCCCAGCCTAGAGAATTAAGTGCCTTTAGGACTCGGATAGCTATGGGAACCAAGAAGGGAAATAAGCCCACTCCAGCGAGACTGAAAAGTTAGAATAAGCCTCAGTCTTGCGCTAGCCCTCCCTCTTTTCCAGACGCTTGCCCCGGCCGCCTTGGCCTGGGGTGGAATGGGGATAGAATCCTCGGGGTGGGGGCAGGAAGGGATCCTAGGCTCTGATCCCCCGGCCCCGGGGTCGTGCGGGCAAGCGTAGCGCGGGCGACTAGCGGACGCGGTCCGGGGAGGCGCAGACCTGTTTGCTCCTGTCTTCTGCCGCCTTCTTGTCGGCCTCTGCCTGCTCTGCTCGATCCAAGGCGTTCTCCTTGTCGAGCTTCAGCATCTGCATCTTCTTCTTGATGGCGTCCATGGTGGCGGTGGCTAGGGGCCCTTGGGCTGCGGCGGGAGCTGAGAGGCGAGCAGGAGCGCGGTGAGCCGGCGGATCCTGAGTGCGATCGCGGAGCCTCCTGCTGCTCCCAGATATGTACTTTCCCAAGGGGACGACCGCATTCCTCAAGACAGCCAATACTTTTTTGGAAAAGCTTTTTTCTCCTGCCCCCTTTCCCCTTCTCCTGCCTCCGCCCCGTGCCCCCTCCCCGTTCCTCCCGCGGGGGCCGCTCGCCCATTCGCTACCTCCCGCCGGCCTCTCAGTTGACGGTGGATATGACTATATATGGGGACCCGAGCCGGGGAGGCGGCGGCCAGGCGAGGCCGCCGGGTTTCCAAATCTGCGCTCTAGGGAGAGGGCGCCGGGCCTCGCTGGAGTGGAGCCGTGCTCAAGGCACTAACCTCTGCCCTCTGCACCTCTTCCTCCCTGGGCCAACCTTGCCCTTTAGGGTCCTCAACCAACCCGACCTGAACCATCGGAGGCCTGGGAGCAATTGTTCGGTGCGCGTGGACCCACTGGGTCGCCAGACCCTGGCACTTAAGGCCACTTAAGGCCCAGGGATTCGTCCTAGTAGATGAGCTCTGAGCACCCAGCTGGTCTTCTTGGCAGCTCGCAGCCTTTCAGGCTCACTCAGGGCGCTAACTTTCTGGAAACTCAACTGAAGCAAAGGGAGAGCTGAGAGAAAGGTCTGGGATCACTCCTGAGAATTTCTTGCTTGTGCAGGTTGGAAAGGTAGGGTGTAGCACAACCACAGTACGCAGTATCCCCCGACCCCCTCAGGGGTGGCCAAACAATTTGTAAGTCCTTCAGAGAATGATCAAGTTCCTCTCCAGGATTTTATCAGGTTTCTTTCACTAACCCAACTGCCCAAAAGGGAAAAAGTACTCTGATCTACTACTCAGAACATCAGGGAGGGACAAATACAATAGGGAGACAGGACCCAATTGGCTTTATTTTGAGTGTGCAATTGTATGGTGCTTCCGGAAAGGGTAGGGCATGTGTTGGTGTGTAGGTGATGGGCAGGAGTTTCAGGGGGAAAAATGTTGAGTTTAGACTCAGACAATTTGGTATTTGTTTGCTACTTAGTCACGAGCATCTGTGTGACCTTGACTAGTGATAGCATTGTGCTGTAGATTAAAACCAGAGGATAGTTGATTTCCTGAAGTCTCTGTAAATATCCCTTTTCATAATTTTCCTTGCACTGATTTTAGGGAATCAGTCTCTTCCCATGCTAGGCACTCAGGTGCCAGGTTGCCAAAACATGGGATAAACAATATCCTAGTTAAGTCTTTGTATCCACAGTCACAACTGTGAAGAGGGAATAGAGCCAGCTCTGCATTGTGAGCTCAACTTGAAAGCAGGAGAATTTCCCCTAGTGCCTCTCAAACTCCCATTTCTCCATCCCCCAAGGGAGAAAATTCTGCTCTTTCCAGAACTTCAGTGGAAGAGCAGGAAAGGCCTTTCCTGAAACCACAGAGGCAGGGTTGGTAAGGGTCTTGTTAACAATCCCCACAGAATAATCCACAGCCTGTACTACATGGATACTGAATAGTCCCTGAACGGTATCTGAGCAGATTAGGCAGGCCAAACAATTTGTAAGTCCTTCAGAGAATGATCAAGTTCCCCTTCAGGATTTTATCAGGTTCTTTCATTAACCCCACTGCCAGAGAGGGAAAAAGTACTCTGATCTACTGGTCAGAACATCAGAGCTATGGGCATAGGTGCTGCATGGCACAGGAATTTACCAGAGTCTTTTAATTCACCACTTGTCAACAAAGCCACTGCAGCACTGACACATTTCCAGACCTGTGGGCACTACACAAATGTGTGGCTGACAGGGAGCTGACTCCCCAGCTTGGAGTTTAGCAGAGGAGGCAAGAATAAGAACTCAGGAGTTAGACCTTGAGACTCAAACTTGGCCTGGCCACTTGCACCTTATTACATATTACAACCTCTCTGAGCCTTAGTAGTTTCTTTGCTATAATGAGACATCTGAACTAGAGACCTTCTTTAAGGGACCATGTTTTACTGACTTTTCTTCTTTCATTGAGCCAACATAGCTGAGGAACTCATTAAGTCTTCCTTAAATGAGCCAGTGCTACAGACAATTAATTAAAAAGACCATTATTGAGCGCCTACTGTATATTAAGCTCTGGAATCCAAAAATAAGTAAAATATATCCATGTCCTCCAGGTGTTCAACATGAGCACAGGTATAAGAATTCAGAGAATGAAGAACTAGAAATGATGAGGTCAGAGCAGACAGAAAAAGCTTTTCTGAAAAGGTGGTGACTTTTGAACTGATTTTAGAGGAAGGGTATCAATTAGAAAGAGAGGGGGGCCATTGTATGAACTAAGGAAAGAAAAGGGAATGTTTGATGGTGGTTGGATGATAGGTTTTTTGGACATAAGACTGGAAAGATAGGATAGGGCCATATAATAAAGAGCTTAGAATTCCAAGTTCAGCTGTCCAGACCTTATTGTGTGGTTTGAAGCCATTGATTTCTGTTCTTTCCATATCTTCCCTTTCTTCCCCTCTCACCTAAAGTTATTTCAGAGCCTATAGTATTCAAGTATAGAAATGGAGCTACACACAAATCTAATTTTTTAAATTCCCTGATCCCTAGACTGATGGGTTAGCATGGCAGGTCCCCTAATTCAAATCATTTCTATTTCATCCTTGTTGAGATTCTACCCCATCAGCAACCCATGGAAAATAGCCTCTGCTTCCTGGAGGGGTTTGGAGCTCTGAGAAAAGTCTTTAGGCCATTTGGATGCCTGTCCTCATAGTTAGTGACATTCCTGGTCACTAAACATCCCAAAGCTCAGATGTGGCCCTTAGGCTTGAGAAGGCACCGGCTACTATTCTGATTCTGCTGAGAATGCTTGCTACCTGGAGAGTTGCATGGGGGGAAATAGTTCTTCCAATACATTAAAAAAAAAAAAAGTAAGTCAAGCATAGGCATTTCCTCTTATTTTCTATCAACAGTAGCATCTCTGTGTAGGGTTAATCAAATTCAATTTGCAATGGAATTTAGCCACCTCAAGAATAGAAATTGGGACTGGGTTGTGGCTCGGTGGTAGAGCACTTGCCTAGTTTGTGTGAGGCACTGGATTCAATCCTCAGCATCACATAAAAATAAATAAATAAAGGTATTGTGTCCATCTACAACTAAATTTTTTTTTTTAAAAAAAGGAATAGAAATTGTCTCTTATGTATGCAAAATTTTAAAAAGAACTTTCAAATTCATTACTTCCTCACAACCACTTTCCACAACTTCAGTATGAGTGCTGCAATTCCCAGTCTGTAGATTAGAAAACCAAAGGCAGTGACTGGTTTAAGACTATCCAACTGGGAGGTGGCAGTTCAGGGACAAGAATGCAAATGTTTCAGTACCCAGCAACAATGCTCGTTTCACTCATTCATTCCCAAGTCTGTTTTTATATTCACATTTTATTTTGTGTTTAAAATAAACATAAGGTCATGATAAGAAGAGAGGGGACTACCAGAGGTCTTGTCTAAATATAGAACATAGTGAAAACATGATATAATAAGGCTGAGGCTGAACAGGCGTCTTGAATTTCATGGGCCAGCTCAGTACCACACCCTAGCTTCTAAACCCACCTACCCACTTTCAGCTGATGGGAGAATCTAGCAAAGAAATGAAACCTTTTCCCATTGTCATGCTTATGGCTCAAGATGGGATAATTCAGACATCTTCATGAGGATTGAAGGCTGGATGTATTAATTTTATTCCCAGGAGCTTCGAGGGAGAATTTGAGGCAATCATTAGAAATCTATACCTGCTTCCTTCAAAATCCTTAGGTGGGCAATGGAATGAACTACAGTTAATTCAGGTAGTATATTTGAGGAAAAAAAGAAGACAAGACCTATGGTTAGGACAGCATCTCTTGCCTCCTCAAGCCCAGCTTGCACAGCAATAAAAGGGCCTATAGATCTTGCAGTCCAGAGACTGTAGCCAGCCTAAGGGGCCACATCTGAGGTTTGAAATGGTTTTAATCATTACATTCCAGTAAACTTCACATTCTTTTTATATTGAATGCCACCTGTTCATTTTTAAGTTTTTATATTTGGTTCTCAAGTTTCTATGGATGTCCTTAACAGGAACACATGTGGAAGTGACCTTTGCAGACTCCTGAATGGCAAGCAGAGCTCCACTCTTATTCAGCAAACCATGAAACCTGACCCCAAAATGCTGGTAGGAGCAGACAACCCCAGGGGCATCTTGCTATACTGGACAGCTAACTATAACTCATTCAGGTGGAAGGGGATGGCTGAGGGCCCTCTTGCTGTATTTTTTGTTTCACTATAGCTAATTCAGGCTTTAGAGGGATGCCATATTAGATGAATTCAAAATTATTTTTCTAAAGTTTTATTTCTATGCATGTTAAACCCACTGCCAACAGCTAAGTTTTTAGTGCAGATGATTTGGCTTGGAGGCCTGTAAGCGGCATGAGGTTATTAAGCAAGCAATGGACTTGCTTTTTGTTTTTGTAAAGATTCTTTCTCTACCGACCAGTAAAACCTTTTCCCTAAGCACTTTCTACTGGGACACTGGCCTCCCCTTCAGGGTATCAATTCCTCAGGGTAAATGCTTCTTCTAGGGTTTTCTCCTGAGAACCATTTCCACCCCAGTAACTTCAGTGCAGGAGGGAGTCAGAGTTTTCTTATGACTTGAGGCAGAGGAAACTTTCTGCTCCTTTTCTGGGGACCTGCCACTGAAGGAGGAAGCTCCATCCAGTCTGTCGGCCAAGGTCCAGAAGAGGCTGGTATTTTTAGCATGGCCTTCTTCACTTCCCAGCACCTGCCATGATCTGTAACCCAAGGGGCTACTTAAATGCCAGCAAGATGACTGAGGACAAGGCAGCCTGAGCTAATGTCCTAAAATTACCACCCAGGGGAGGCTTTCTTATGGGAGTCATTTCATGCCTAGCTCTTCTCCTTTTCTTGATCCTTCCTAA